GGGGAAAAATCAGGAAGAAATGAGAAATTCTCATTGTGACATTGCTTAATTTGTATTCATCATGGGGAGCATGTTTGTTTTAATTTGCTGACTGAAGTATTGCTTTTTAGCATCACTGAGGCAATAGAAAGAGAACTGCTTTAAGCTCTAGTCCATGAGTAGATTCCTGCAAACATTAGGAGCATTGTTGATTAGGTTGCCAAAACTACTCAAAAGGAGTATGAATTGGCTGTGTAGAGTCCAGGTTATATCAAATCAGTAGGTGGCATTTTATATGCTGGCATTATTCTAGTGATTTCAACTTTTTATTTCTTCTTAAAATGTGTTTATAACCAAATGCAGAGTAATACTTCTCTATCTTCCAGCATATGTTGCTTCAGTCTGTTTTGCATTAGTATAGCCTCATGAGTTAAACGCTTGCATGTTATAAAATGGGATGCTTATAACTAAAATTTCAACAAGATTATCTGTATCATTATAAACAAAATATTTCAATTTTTAATTATTTAGAATGACATGTATGAAAACCATTAGTTCATAAAGTGCCATTTTTTTGACATCTCACTGTAACTTAAAATGTTTTAAACAAAACCCTTAAGCACCTATTTTTAACAAACGGATACTGCCTGTAAAAAGAAGGTCATGTATTCTAATGTCAATATTTAATGAACCCTAAAACAATACCTTGAAAACAAGGCTTTAGTTTTCATGGGTGATGAATCAGAATCTAAAAATGTAGGTGGTGAAGGCTTTCAAAACTAAATTCCCAAGAAAACTCACGGGTGGCTTGCAGAAAAACTAGGTGTCTAAATCATCTGATGGGAAACCCTCATCAGGTCGTTATTCCTTTCTTCTCTTTGCATGTTTCTCAAGGCTGAGCTTTTGCCTTCAGTTTTCCCTTATGTTGGTAAGATGTGAATGTATTCCACTGTGTTAGACAATATCTACAGGTTGTATATTAGAAATAACATTTTTGCCAGGAAATCAGAAGTATTTCTGTCCTTATATATCACCTTATATCACATTATAGATCAATGTCTTCAGCTGATACTCCTCTTTTACAGGAAACAGATGACATTAAGAAAAACCATTGTAACTACAACACCTCAGTGTGTTGTGTAGAGAAGGTGGTGTTGATGAACATGTTTTAATAGTGCCACTGGGAAGCAATTCAGCAGAAAAGCTCCCATATTATTTCAGGGACTGATATGTAAATGAACGTCTGCACTGAAATGTCCTGATGTCCTTCATAAGGCATCTGCCTTTTTGGTAAAAGAGAACAAAAAAAATATTTCCTGGGGGTGGCAAAGAATTTTCAAAAAGAATATTTCAGTGAAGCACTGCAAGAAACCATTTATAAATGGTAGTAATGTAGTTTCTGTTTTTGTTGCTTTTGTTGTCTTTTTAAAAATAATCAAATGGGGAAAAACAGAAATAAATGACTCAGAGCTCTCACTAGTTTTGGGCAGCAGTTCTTTTCACATGATTTCAAAACATTTTCCTTTTCTTGTGGTGATGGTAAAAGAAGGATGCTGTTGTTTTGGTGGGGCTGCTGCAGTGAGAGTGTGAATTATGAATAAAGTGTTACACCTGCCTTATGTTTAAAGAATCAAGAGCAAAGCTTTGTCATTCCCAGCTTTGAAAAACGTCAGTGATTTTTTTCCTGAAGTCTGAATTCCCTTAAAGAGTGTGAAACACTGCATTATGTGCGTTCATACTCTTTCAACAAATATTTTTATGTTTTTACTTAACAGTGTTACCAGATGCCACACTTCTCCACTGGGTATGCTAAGTCATTTACAGAGCTATCAGAGAACATAAAATTCATTAACATAGAGAGATTTCATGATCCTCCTGTAAGTTATGTAAAATTGTATTTTGTGAGGTTATTTGGGAAGGTGGAAGTGTGAAAGGTTTATACTGATACTCAGAAGGTTGGCATCAGGAAAGTGATCAAAGCCCTGGAAAGCTTTGATCACTCTTCAATGGATCCCCTATGTTATGCTTGCTTTTCTTCCACATCACCTGGTCATCTTAAAAGCATCATTATTAGAAAGAACCTGCTGGCCTCTTTCTGCTTTGCTGCATGCTGAGGAGGGGAAGGAAGACACAGGTGCTTTTATCGCTAGGAACCTACCCTGATACCTCCCAGGACATTGAACCCTGCTGCAGCATGTGATGCTCCTCGAGGTTTTTAAACTTGCAGTATAAATGGGTGATTTCAAAGCAATACATCATTTGTAAGGCTGTTTCCCAGCCCTTTCCCTGCAGCAGTGACCCCTGTCCTGTTTGTTGCAATGGCCTGAATGTGTGCCAGAACAGATTTCCATATTTTATCACCAGCAGTTTTTGTTCAGGGTGTTTCAGATCACGGTGTTTCAGGGATGTATTTGGCATAAAGTCTTTCTGTCAGTAGGTTAGTCCAGCATGAGACTTTCAACTCTTGAAGTCTGAAGCCTCAGTTGCTCTGCCTCATGTGGATGCAGGTCACATAAAATACAGTGTATACCCAAAGCACAAAATATTTATCATCTCTATGACAAAAGTGCTTAATAAGTTACATATCTAAAGTAAGCCCTTTTTAAAAAGCAGCCCCTGCTACATACCTCTGTGCACACGAGGATGTATTTGCTAAAGATAGCAAAGTGAATAAATTCTTTTTAGTAAGAGAAACCAGATGTAGAGATTCTGCTAGAATCCTATCATCCCACAAGCAATTTCCTACAAGTAAAATTTCCAGTACAGTCATTCAATCCCCTGTGCAGGGGGTCTGGAATTAAGATAATCAATTATCCCAGGTAATCTTTTTTTTCTATAAAATGTTGTCTGAAACCCAGGAAATATGTACAGCATCCACACATGCTGAATGTAAGGGAAGCCTGGAGGCAGACTGTGAAATATGACTCAATCGCTTTCCAATTTGCTGACGGGACCATTGAGTTGCATATTTCCTATATGTGCAATTCACAAAAAATGTTGCAATTTTGGTTTTAAAGTAATGTTATGAAGGTTTCTGCTCTCCAACAGAGTGCTGTGGATTCAAATGATGTCAAGCTGCATATTGACTGATACATACAATGATAGACCTTCATTTCAAAGAGATCATTACTAGTCATGAGCAAAGGGAAGAATAGGGCATACAAGACAGAGTTGTAAAGAGAAAGAATAAGAATATGCATTATGTCAGTGTGTGTGTGTGTGTCTGTGTGGGGCAAACACAAAAGGAAAAAAATGCTTGAGAAACATATTTAATTCTCTATGCCCATATTAAAAGTTCAGTGATTTATAGATTTGAAAGGATTAGGATTCCAAACAAATATCACAGCCAGACATGCCAAGTGTTTCTGATTAGCAAATTAGCTAAATCCTATACAAAATATTATGGGATCTAATTTGGAAAAAAAGCAAATTGGATTTGAGGAGGTTAAATATAGTTCTTATGGTGTAAAAATTTTTTGTAATGAGACAGAAAAAAAGATCTGAAATTAAAATTATGATATTTTCTACACCATAATAAATAGATTATCTGAGTACTGTATCTGCTCATACATCTATTTTCTTCAGCAGACACAACCAGAGAATTCACCAGAGAATTGTAGTTAATAATTGAATTCAGAATATTTGAGTTGGCCATTTTAGCTCCTGGACTCTCTGAGAATAAGTACCTGCTCCCAGGTACTTTTGCACAGATACTCAGCTCCCCCATTTACAAAAATGCTTTTTCAAGGAAATGAGGACTAGAGCTGTGTGTCAGTATGGACAAAGATTTTTCTTTTCAGATGCTACGTGATGATCTGCTTTGATATAAACACATTTATAATAATATACAATTATAATTAAGTCGGATGTTCTCTAGGAAAAGAATGCTATGAAATTCATTTGCAGTGCAATGTATCCATCACACTTTTAATTAAGATAAAAAACAATTAATAATTACAGAGCAAACTCATATGAATGCCAGTCTGGCCTCCACCACTGCATTATCATAGTGACTAATTTTTCTCCTATAAAAGTGAGACCTGCCAAGCTGTTTTTGTTTTGTAGCTGACTGTCAGCTGTTTTTCATCTAGCAGAATTTATGTAAAGAGAGCAGACTTCTTGCTTCTGACAGATTTAGTCAGCATTGTATATTGGCTCTTAGCTGGACCCTCACATTTTTCAGCAGCCCATCATGTCTTGGTAACAGAGAACCTTTGCCTTGCCTTACACAAAGCAAGTCTTGCCATTTCCTCCAGGTACCTGATAAATTCTAAAAGATTTATGTCAGCCATAAATGAGCCCCCTTAAGACTGACCACGTGGGTGACTGCCCAGCGTTTGCAGTCTCTGCTCAGACATGTGGGAGGGAGGTCATGAGTGTGGCCCATTCACAGATGACCCTCACTAAGTCATGGACTGGGGCAAGTGTCTGAGTCTTACCCCTGCGAACACTGCTGTGTGAAATGGTGTCAGGAGCAGCTGGGAGAGCAGCTCGCTTTGCATTCACTAATCTTTTACCCAGACTGGGATTCACAGAGCTGTTGCGGGCAGCCTAAGGCTCACCTTGGGAGCCCAAGGCTCATCCAGATATGTCTAGTGGTATATAAACAGCCCATTAAACACTTGGTCACTCAGGGACCCTTCTCTTCCAGATGATGCCCTAGAGTTCCCCAACTGGGATTTGTTTCCAGATTTGCTGTCAGTTTGAAAAAAAGCTGATCTTGAGAAATTCCTCAAAGGGACAATTTAGAAATGCCCACCAGAGCCATTAGAAATCTCTGGGAAAATCTGAAACTGTGAGACAGCATGAGTAAGACCCATCTACACATTCTCTGAAACAAAATAGGAATTCAACACAATTTTCTTTAATGTCAATGACTGCAGTGAACTTTTAATTAAGAAAATACATGTGGAGCAACACAGTTCTCTGCTGAAGCATTTCACTTCTGCACTTGGTACAATCCCAGGAAAATCCTCCTTTCAATTCATTGTGTAGATAAAACAATAAATCAAACTACTCACATATTTCAAGATGAGAAACAGAGTACAGAGTTCCTGCTGCATTTAACTTGTTTTTGGTGAAAAGGGAAATCAAAAATGTTTCCTGGATGTAGCTGTCCAAAATTCTGTATCTTTTCCATTAAGCAAAATTTTCAGTGTTTAATGTAAGCTTCACGTTGAGTAGGAAAATTGCTGTAGGAAGGAGCAGTAATCTAAAAAAAAACCCCAAAACTAACAACCTGTACTCTTGCCGTTTAGCTTCTTTGTGTCAAGGATCTGTAAAAAATTTTTCCTTCTCAATTATCGCTGCCTAGCTGATCTTTGAGAGAGCAAAGCTATTGCTCACAGGAATGTAAGCAAACTGTATGCATAAACTGGGTGGGTTAGTTTGGCTTCAACAGAAACAAATTGCAGGAATTGCTATTTTTGTGCTATCAGTCCTGTAATGAAAACAGAACATGTTGGAAAAATGTGATAAGATAAAGATTTGATTTTGTACCGTATCTTACCTCCCCCTTGTGTGGAAGAAGGTGGTGTGGGATAGCTAGTGACCTTTGTTGTGATGTGACACCACTTGAACTCACAAGTGATTAGCTAGTGTTCTCCCTTTTTCTCCTGGGGAATATATTTTAAATTTGGGCACTGGAGATCTCATTGGTGTGGGCTTTCTCCTACTGCCCCATTAGGGCCATAATGGTTGTCACAAAGCAGGGCTGGCATCTTCATTTACAAGGGATGATGAGCTACACAGAAAGGAAAGATTGGTTTACCTATGAAAGTAAGAGAGACCTTTTGGGAAAATGCCTCAGCCTATAGCTAGAGTCTCTGATTTCCTTTATCTGAAAATTCACTTGAAATAAAGTGCCCAGTTATATCTTTTGGTGTGGACTTCTTTGCATACTTAGAAATAAAAAAATGTTCCCTACCAGTTCCAGATGTACGGGGTTGTATGTGAACTCTTCCACCACACTACAAATCCAACCACACCATTCAGATCTGGACAGAAGGACACAGTGTTGTCAGAGAATCAAAGTCCTAGGGAAGCTCAGCAGATAACATTATGATGTCCTTGGATGAAATGGGAAAATTTTTCCAAAAAGAGCAATAGTGTTTAACATACATAAAATTTGTCTGCAAAAATTTATCTCAGAGTGCTTAGAAAGATACTGGAAAAAGCTCTGGGTTTTTCCCCCTTTCTTTTTCTTCATTTTATTTTCATTTTCAGAGGAGGAGAAGGCCAAATTGTCTTTAGAATGAAGGTGTTTGTGACTATGATATAGAGAAACATCTCTTGTTTCCAATTAAACTTGCTTTCACTGACACTCATTGGTGCCTCACATTTCCTCCATCTGCACTCTTGAAAATAAGGGAGTATTTGTTGAGAATGTTGTTTCCTTTTTCAGACCCATTTTTATGAGTGTAACACTCCTGGAACATGTTTCTCAGTGTTCAAACATACTTTTAAACACACACTGCTGATGTATCTGATATTTCTAAATATTCACAAGATTTGAATAAACTCGCAGGCTAACTGAATTGACTGATTGAATTACTTAATCTAAATTATGAAGCATGTAAAGAATTAATAGGTGCAACTAGTTTCCAGAATTTGGAAGGGAGTCAACTTCGCCATCACATGAGGTTTCCAGGTTCTTTAAAGGCTATCAATAAGCAGAAATGACACTTTTAAGCATGTTAACTCTCCAGAGGGAAGCTAAATTTTACTGTATGGCAATTTAATGCCCTGTCAAGTTATATGTAATGCTTCCATTGTCATCAGGTTAGACAGCATTCTCAACAAAATTTGTCCTCCACTATTATCAGTTTCCTATATACGTAAGGCTAGGAAATCCAGGTAACCCATTTTACAGATGTAGAATGGAAACAAACACAGGTGATTGTTCAGCCTGAAGAAATGGAGGTTCTGGGGAGGCTTTATAGCAACCTTCCTCTACCTAAAAGAGATATAGTGGGATTTTTTTCAAGGATTTGTACAGAGAGTGACTTCAAGCTGGCAGAGGGTATGTTTAGATTAAATATTGAGAATAAATTATTTCTTGTGAGTGTGATGAAGAACTGGAACAGGTTGCCCAGGGAAGTGGTGGATGCCCCAGGGAAGTGGTGGATGCCCCCTCTATAGCAGTTTCTAAAGACAGGTTGGATAGGGCTTTGAGCAACCTGGTCTAATGAAAGGTGTCTATGTCCATGGTGGAGGCATTGGAACTAGAGGATGTTTAAGATCTCTTCCAAACCAAACCATTCTATGATTCTCTATATTAAGGCGATTCCTGCAATGCTATGTTTCAGTGTAGAGGAATAAGCAAAACTGCTGAAATGCACTGCTAAACTATGTCTGCTGAGAAATTGAAATGTTCCTGTATTTTGCCTGGGTCTATATTGCTGCTCTTCCTAGGCAAGTTATTTACCTTATAGGCAATGTCCTCAAAAATACTTTGTTACAGCTGAACTGTTCAGTGATGTGTCACCTTTCAGTCTTCACAACGTTAGGGTAGGTATTCAGGGTCTTACTGTAATAGCTGCTTTACAAACTGCTGAACATTTACACAGGCCGGTTTCAAAATCCATGTCTAGCTTCAGGGTGTATGACAAAATGAACAATTTTATTTGGCAATATCATACCACAAGCTATTTGAAAAAATACAGGATTGTATCCTAACCCCCTACCTTCTTAGAGACACAGGCAATTACTCTGCCTGCAGGAGAAATACCTCCTTCCAGATAGAATTCATCACAGGCATCAAACATGTTCAGGAGCTGATTGCTTGTCTCACATACTAATGTGAGATGACACTGATACTGGGGCGTTTCCATCCACTCTCAATTATTATCTTATTATCTATGGAAAAATTTAGAATGTTTATCCAGTATGTTGAAGACTACATTTGAAAGCATCAACCTCTGAAAGCTCTTAACGTGAAAATAGAGTTCACCTGGGAGTGGGTGTTCTTAGCTGTTGTGGTTAAAGATTGAGATTTTGGGGGTATGGCATCTGATTCTCACAAGATGCAAGCACTAAAGTCATGTTATGAGTGCCTAAAGCTGAAGAGAAAAATAAAGAAATTAATTTCCAGATAACTGCCTTTTTGGGGGTTTTTGGGTTTTATTTTTCTGGTTTGTTTTTGTTTTTGTTTTTGTTTTTGTTTTTGTTTTTGTTTTTGTTTTTGTTTTTGTTTTGTTTTTGGGTTTTGGGTTTTTTGTTTGTTTTTTTGTTTGTTTTTTGTTTTTTGTTTTTTGTGCCTTGCATGCCATTATTGTTCTAGAATTGTATGGCAGCCTGTGGCTTAGCTGTGGGATGTGCTGTACTTGCATGGAGTGAGATATTCCCAGGTACACACATCTCACAGCTAGATCTACAAGACAAATGAATACAGACCAAGAATATAGTTGAGCTGTAGTATAAATTGAAATGTTATCTGATTATGTCAGAAAATCAAAAGCCTTTTTTTCCTACGCATAGACAGATCTTTGAGTGAAACCAGAAAAAAATCAGGAGCCTATATGAAGCAAAAGAATGGATATAGCACCTATTGTTTCTTTTTCATCTGGTCATTATTTTCCTGCTGCTGCCATCACCAGGACTTCACAGAGCTCTCCACTTCTAGGTCTATCACTGCCTGTAATCAGAGTTTACACAAAACGACAAAGAGTTTCTCAAGTCTGAAGTGCTTTCCAAGGAAAATGCAGTGATGCAAAATTGCAAAACACCTAAGATATATAACATCACCAGCAGCCAAGGTGTGCAGAATGGAGTGTAGCATAGTCCCAGCTCTAACATGCTAGGGTCTTGTGTGATCTTGGCCAAGCCACTTGGCTTTTTTCTTCTAGGTCTTTCTCCCTCTTTTGGATGTAACATCTTTTAAAGTAATTTCTTTCAAAACAGACATTGTACAGGAGTATTTTATTAGCTGAAGCATTTAATAATCTCTAATACAAATTTCAATTACAGATGCTTTCCTCAGCGGGAAAACACATCTAGAAATGTTCCAGCCCTTCTATTGACTACCTGGTAATGACAGTATAAATTAGCACTGGTATAGTAGACACGGAATAGCTTATGAAGAAAATGTTGACTTTCTCAGGAAATTTAGAAACTTGGTCTTTCCATTTTCCATAAAGTTGTACCAGAAGATCTACAAAAGAAAGAGAAGTAAATTAAGCCCTATATATAAGTCCTTTATACAAACCCTTGGCTTCTTTATATAAGAAGTCAAAACCTCAGCCCAAGTGAAAGTGGTATATTACTTAGAATGGGGTACAACACTGTGATACACTGTTCATGACTGTGGTGAACTACAAGTGGGAAGAAAAGATTATAAGCTTTAGTATAGATTTTTGGTTGGCTAGTACTCACAGAACAAGTCGCCTTCTGCTATTGAGACCTCACTCTTCAAAAGTCAGGCATGATGACTGTTTTGAGATTAGAATCATGGATAGCTTCCTCACTGTCTGCTTGAATCCTAGATCCACAAACACACCCTTGATGCCACCACAAGATCCACACAGCACAAAGTAGGTGATCCCAGGGAGAGGACTTGGGTCACTCTTACATCTTTTCCTTTCTAGCCAAATCCTGAATATCTGGGATATGTGGCTTTTGATCCCTTTGCCCTTACTTCTTATGAGTCACTCATAATTTTAAATATTTTCTTCTTGTTTTCTGCTTGCACCAAGACTCAAGGCTAGAGTGGCTACTCAACTGTAGTAGCCTTGAGTGAGTGAAGGTATGAGGTAGATAGGAAGAGCCCTGCTTGGCCTAAAGCTTGTACATTTTTGCCAGATCTCAGAGTAGTTGATAAAGTAAGTGGTTGAGTGCTCCTCCAGTACACTGATTGCAAAAATACATCAGAAGTAAAGCTGACAGTTCCTGACTCTGTCTGCACTATCTTATTCCCTTATGGGTTTACTTATTGTATTCAAGGGAAAAAGGATGTGAATTGATAGGAGCACATGAACTATCATGACTTCTATGTAAATTAAAAAGTTAATTTTTATCTCTAGTATGGCATAAAAAGACTTAGAGGTAGATTTATCTCTAAAATCTCTCTGTTGCTAAAGGGAAAGCAGAGAGACCTAATATTGTTACTATGGAAGTCTAGTGTAATATCCAAGATATTGAGATTTGTAAAGCTAGTGTTATTTTTCACACTGTTTTCCTTTCAAATCCTGCAGGATTATAAAAATTCCCCATGGGGACCTGCCTGTGGTAAATACAGATTTTCTACACTGCCAGAACAATGAGCAAAAAAAATTCCCAAACCAGCCTGAAAAAAAATGCTACTCATCTCATGAAGGAACATAGCACAGACACTCAGTTGTTGTTAAGTTGTGCTGAGGTGTAAGATGTCTGTACCAGGGCTATTTGGGCAGAGTTCTCTGGCTGTACAAATCTGGGATTAATGAGGAGCAGCAGGGAGGTGACATTTTACCTCTGTGTGATGCTGCTGAGATCAGTAACAGAACGACACATTCACTCCGGGTGGCCACTGATGTAACAACATCTTGAGAAACTGGAAAGCATATAGAAAATAGCTGCAAACTAACTAAAAGCACAGGGGAAAAGGACCTTTTTTTTTCTTCCACCCTCCCTCCCCCCCCCCCCCCCCCCCGACAAATTTAAAGTTTTCAGCCTGTTTCATTTAAGTAAAATATTAAAAAAACAACTTCATCTTCATGGAGGTACTTATACTATGTCATGGACAGCTTTTCAATCCAGTAATGAAACATTATAATATGACTCAGTGGCTGAAATGATTAATATTTAGGAAAACTCAAAAATCTGCCTGTGCTGGTGCAGCAGCCGGGAGGGCTGGCTTGGGGGGCACAGCACACCCCTCCCAGCCACTCATCCCAGTGACAGGAAGGCCTCCTGACTGCTTCACTCACCAAAGTCTCATCCCAAAGAAGGGGCTTGTGGAGGATAGAGCAGAGCAGTGCCTGCTCGGGCTTGTAGATGACACCTGCTGCTGTGTTGTCCCTTGGGTGCCATGGGGCAACACTGGGGCAGTGCTGGAGCTCCCCTTGCCTGCCCAGGCCTGGCTGCTCTGTGTCCTTCCAGATGTTTTCCAAAATCTCAGTGGGTCATGGCATTGGTCCTTGCTTCTCTAGTGCCAGATATTTGTCATCAGCTACATAGGGCATGAGCCAAAAGCGCAAACAAAGCCTGGTGGAGGGAACCTTCTTGTTCTTTTGGAAGAGGAATTTAGGACCCCACATATGCATGATTTTTAATAATGACAAGGCTTTAACAACTGCCAAACATTATCAGGTAAGATTCTGGATTTACCATTTTTTAAATTCTTTACGACTAATACAGACTTTTCCCCTGTAAGTATGTCATAGCTTGGGTTACTCACCATCAGCCCCTTCCTGGAGTTAGTTCAGACTCTAAGCACCTGCCCTACACAACAGGGAATCTCCAGGGGAGTGCCACTCCATGTCACCTCACACAAAGCACAGGTAAGCCCAGAGCATCTGGAATTTCTGCCAGTTGCAGCACACTGGGACACATCATCCCCAGAGCACGGAGCCGCACTTTTCACAGGCAGGTGCCAGTCTGGAAACAGAGACCCAGCAGAGATCCGCTGCTGGAACTGCAAAGGACAGCTTTTTTCTTGCAGTCCACAGTGCTGGAGTGTTAAGACAAATAAGGATTTCCTCGGTCTCTGTCTATGTAACAGTTCAGCATATTTTTAGTCAGCTCTTCACGTTCTCCCCACAGTATAAAAGGTCTGTTCAGCTGGAGACAGTGAGTATTCTTACAGCCCTTTAGCGTGGCTTCGGGGTAATACCTCGTCTAGACCCCCCTCAGCCGAAGTTGGCAGGAGCCCGGACCTAGCAGAAGTGTGCTAACATGCTGCCACCTTGTGCTGGTTTGGCAGCAAACCTCGGCTGAGCATTCCGCTAGCGTGGCGCCGGGATTCGCTGCTGTGTCCCGGGCCGTGTCCCGAGGCAGGCAGCCCGCAGCCCCGCCGGGGACCTGCACACCAGAGCCCTCCTTCCACCGCACAGCTCTCCTGGCTGCAGAAACGGAGAGGGAGCCACAAACGCCCCTCAACTTCAGCTTCCAGTCCGAGCCTACCCACAGCTCAGGAAAGGAAAGGAAGAGATGCAGCTCAAATTCCTGTAACTCTCCATATTGATGACATTAATACCAGAAATACTGAACAAATCTACTGTTTTCATACTGGTGGGAACTTTCTGAGATACAGAATACACACATTTATGCTAACTCACTCCTTGTGGTTTTTTAAGCAGAACAAAAACTAATTCCTGAGGATACACCTAAGTTTCAAGAGGGAATTCAGGGTTTCCCAGTGCAAGGATGATTTTCCTGGTATTAGTCTTTACAATTAGCACTCTCCACTAATATTTTTGTCCTTCTTTATCCCATTTACCTTCAAAGTATTTTTTGTTTGTTTGTTTGTTTGTTTTCTCCAAAGTGCCCTCTCCAAACTGTGCTTCATACTGCTATGATCTGCCTTTAATTCACTTTGAGTTCATAAACCAACCCATCCCATCACCCCCTTTTATGGTTAATCAATGCCAAACTTCTCCCTTGGTGTAACACTGCGCTCTGACACTGTCCTTATTTAAGCAGAAAACAGAAGAGTTTTCAATAACCTGGAGATATTTTTCTTAGTATCAGACATGTCTGATCAGTATTAGATCAGACATAAATTAGCATTTGAAAGTAATGTATGTGTAATGTGAAGTACTATATTGTGATGAGCTAAATGTTATTTCATCAGACAGATATTCAGAAGGCTAAAGAGCTTGTTTCCTTTGACCCAAGAGTGACATCGCTCATCACAGTGCTGTTATGGTCTAAAGTTTTGTAAGATTTAGATTTCAGTCAGGAAAGTATAAATTCTTACAGTCACTGCTCTGGCTGTTGCCCCTTGGCAGTGACACTGTTTTGCCAGCAAAGCTTAAAGCTGGTTGGCAATGTGTGAGTGTCTCTGGTACCTGCTCCTGGACGTTTTCTCCAGGTACAAGTAACAGACGAGGACTAAGCTGTAGAACTGCTGAGAATCTCCTGTGAAGCTGATGGAAACTGCTAGAGCTGGGTACTTTCAAGTCAGATGGTAGAAAAATTGCTAAGCCAATCAAAACAGATATTGCACAGTTTATTCTGGTAAAACTTAATAAACCCTTTGCACAAAATACTTCAGTGTGAATTACCCGTAAGGTCACATTCCCCCCCCTGATTTCTTGCTCTTCAAAAATCTAACTCACTAAGTAAAACACACAGAGAAATAAGCAAGCACAGAGATATCTCCTGATTTAAGTGGAGTACTGACATTAATATTTCTTTTCCTGTTTCATTAAGAGCTCATTAATTGAAACACAACTTATTTTCAGACAATTCTGCTAATGTTAGGTGGTATGACTATGTTGTTATTGATCTCTTTTTTGCAAAGCTGATTTTGGTAGAATTTGCAAATTGCAACACTAGTGTTTAGATAATCTTTTTTGGATACTGATAGTACACTTGTGCGTGAATAAGTGTGCTAGTCTGTGTCTGAGAGAGACTGAGACAGCAAGGGGAACTGTAGTGCCTGAGGTTTACAACTTGAAGGGCTGTTGGTTATATCTGGGACCAGAGAATCTCTGGTCTTTTGTCGTCTCCACCAGTGAGATTACAGAAATGAATGAGACAGCAGGGAGGAGAAGGGAGCAGGGTACTTTTCACTAATAAGACAAAAGCAGAGGGAGAACATAAAGCTATGCCAAATTTTCAGTCTCTTTGCTCCTTATTGCTCCTAAGAAGAATGTATGTTACCTGTTCATATCACCTCCTCTTTTCCCTACAGAGGGGCTTCTGGCAAAAGAGAGCTGTGTCAGGACCCTACAGTGGTGTATTTGGCTGCCTCCTCCACTTGATTTGTAGGGAAAGGAAATCTTTAGGTAGCTCTTGTTGCTCTTGCCTACTTCATGCCATTTATTTCTCTTGCATCTCCTCCATTCATGGTCAGCACACAGATTCTGCTGAAAACCACCAAAAGCTGGATTTTCCCAGACTAGTTCCTTTGGGTGTACAGTGAACTCCTGAACACTGGCACCCATTTTTAAGATTCCCTTCCTTCCCTTTGCTTGCCAGGCATTGTTATGGTCATTCCACTATGAGCCTTAAGGCTCCTGGTGGTTTCTATACACCCTGGTTTCTGAAATGATCAGTAAGGGATCTCTACATAACCATTCACATGTAGGGATCTATGGGCATCTGCCCTGCCATACACAGACCTTTGCAGATATAATAAAGCTCAGGTACCCGGGGTGTATGAGATGGACTGAAAAGCTATGACAGCTAAACATCCTGAGATGAGGAAAGCTGCGCCTTCTCCTGATTTTAAAACATTTATGGTTTTATACTTTTTGTTTGCTTGTTTCCTCTGTCTGTACAGTCTACATGTGGACACTTCAGTCTCAGCATTTAATAAAAAGAAAGAGGGCTTTGAAGCAGGACAAATACAACAAGGGCTAACAACCCTGAGTTCCCTCACCCCTTTGATCAGAGTGTGGAAAGTAGCCAACAGTCAGTTTTACACTAACAGTGATTTACCAATCCCCATAAATATGTCAGTAGGTGTCCAGGAGCCTATATGCAGATGGGCTATTTATCCCTCTAAGAGTATGAGGTGATAATCTTTGCCCCAGGCTCTTGGTCAGACATTCAGGGCATTTTTCAGCATGTCAGTTGCCTGTATATCATATCTGTGATGGTGCAACAAGAAAGGTGACATAAGCCAGGCAGAACACTGACATTGTCTGATTCTTCATGCTATTTGGGTTTACCTAGTGCAAGCGTTATATGATTCATAATTCATTTTTCATATGCTGAAGGGTAATCCTGAACTATGGGCAAGAAGTTAAGCTGTAGGAAAAAAATTGAATTTTTGGTTATAGGTATCTCTGGAAGGTGCAGATGTGGCTTCTAAAATATGATAGTGTGGAAATACTTTGTGTGAAGAGTATTTATGAGTACAAAACTGCAACTGGTGGCAGGTTGAACAACTAGTTCATCAAACCTATGTAAAGAAAAAAATATACAAGTTGTGTTTTATTTTCTGTTTGCTGAATAGAACTCCAGTTCTATATTTTTTTTTCAATTGTCAAAAGGCTATTTATTCTCATTGCAATGGAATATAAATAGGCAACCAGATAAAAAATTTAAAACACAGAGGCTAGAAATGTTTTGGTAAAGTGTGCGCTTACTTTCACTTCGGTAACATAATTATTCCTGCTACAAAATTATATCTTTCTTGTATTCTAAATGCTAAACTTAGAGATTATAAAAAAATTAGCAAACCTTGGTACTAAGAACAGTACCAAGGCTCTTCTTCCCCGCTAACGCATTTAAGATGTGTTACAAATAAATTCATTATTTTTAACAGCGCAAATTGCTGTCTTAAATTATAAAAGGAAATGAACACAGCATTTGATTGGGTAGAGAAAGGGGCTTAAACACAGGAGATCACCAAAGGTGTTGAAAGGAGGCAGCTGACAAAGTACTGCATCCCTTACATCTTCTCCTAAGCTTCACTTGCTTTTCTCAGAGAGTTGATACGGTTGACTGAAACTGATCCCAAGCATGACCCCTCAGCCCTGCCTGGAAACAAATGCATCACTGCTCCTTGTGCAGGCGTATTCTGCAAGACCCTGCAGGTATGTTTAGCAGGAGATGCTGAGGCAGGGGAAGTGATGTCCCGAGGCATTCACAGCTTCATAAGACCTATCAGTTCAATCTCTACCAGATTCACCAAAATGACAGCTGTTCTCTAAGTGGTCCTGAAGTTTGGTGGCACCAGCACATGAGAGGCTCTGTATGCCTCATGGGAAAGAGGGCTCCTAGGTATTTCTGAGTGACAGAGCACAGCTCAGGCAGTGCAGAGCTGGCTAGTGCTCAGTCGCTTGGAGCAGAAGCATCTTGGAGAGAATGCCTTTCTGCAAAAGATAGTGCATAGATATAAAATGCAATAATTTAGCAGACACACTCAAATATATTGAAAAAACACCTTCAGTGTGGCTGTGATCCTGAACTTCATCTTATTAACTGACTTATTCTTGTCTATTATTTTGCACAACTTTTTTCCCTTCAATATGTGCTTTCAGGATCTGAGGTGCAGCGTTTCATGGATTAGAAATATCTGTTGTTCATGTACCCATACCCTTATTTTTTTAGGTTCTTTATGAAGCACTTTATACAGTGCTTCACCATAACTTTTGTTGCCCTTTCTCTTCTCCTGATAATATTATTTTTAAATTACTGCCATATATTCATGCTATAGAGGAAGGTACAGTCCTATTGAAGTTTTGTTGAGGAGTGAGCCATAATGAATTCTGAAGACATAATGGGGTTTTTTTTGTCTATTAAAGCCTTGTACATGCCCAAAGATGATGATAATGATGTTGATTGTGGATGTCACATACTAATAGTACAAAAGCATTTAAATTGAGCCGTATGTGTTGCTGAACTTTGTGGATGTAGCAGGTATGTCTCTCAGAAAACTGCAAAACACTCAGAAAAGAGGCAGAAGAGTTGCAACAATTTTTTCCAGCCATTTCCTTTGATGAAAGGAGAGCATCACTATGTCTCCATGACCTTGTCTCTGCAGCTGCACAGTTTTTTGATGCTTCAGTTTTCCTAATCATTGGAATTGTTCTGTCTACTATGTATGATGCATTTAGAGTGCTGGCAAGACTTCACAGAAGCGACTAATCATTACTAATGTGGGGATGTTAAACACAAAGGAGACAAACCTGGATGGTAGCTTGAATTTGATATATTCAGT